TGGTCCATTGACTGGCAACAGTCCACACATGCCAGAAATCGGGCCCAAGGAAACAAGCGAAGCCCTTCTGGTTCACGAAAAAACCTCTCTCCACGGAACCGGTCCCTAGTGCCCAAAAGGTTGGGGGGGGCACTGCTCTAGGAAACAGAACCCCACAAAGCAACACTACAGAAAACATTTTATTTCTACAACCTGCAAAGTAAATATTTTAACAGCACATTAATATTTATTGGGTTACTACACAGAATTTTGAGTTTGGAGAACCAGCAAATACCACCTCTGGCTGGCCCCAGAGTGCAGTGGGAATGGAGATTTTGCAATATCCTTCACCTGCCATGCCCACCAAGCCACACCCACTAAGTCACACCCACAGAACCGGTAGTAAAAAAATTTGGATTTCATCACTGAGTTCAAGTAGTTTTCTTGATGGTATTATGAAACTGGCTTATCATGATCTTCTTTTCTGGGATATTTTTTCTATTTTCCAAGCTAGTCTAGACCCTTAACATTCCAGATTTTATCTGGAAAATATTTTCCAGATAAAAATATTTAATTTGCACACTATCAAACTTGTACAAGTCTGCAAATAAATCACCCCGATTTCTCTTATTTTGCACCACCTCCATAAAGCAAGGGCTATTTGGGGACTTCTTTCAATATTTAGATTTGATTGCAAATAGTCAACCTAATTTGGGGAATAAGGAGATAACAGGAGTTATTCCAGAATTTTAAAAAATGGCTAAACATTTTTTTAAAAAAAAACTTGGGGAAGATAACTGATTTCTGATGTTGTCTGAACAGACCAGGGAACAATACAATCATGGACACAAGATATCAACCTCAAGTATAGTGGATGGATCATATTCTATGCTGGAGATAAATAGGCGAGAGTGTGATAGATACTGGTATTTGGATAAAATCCTTCTGATACTGTCCATTATATTTTTATTCCCATTAGAAATATTGTATAGTTCTTGTCCCATATCTCAGAAAAGGTGGAATTGCAAAAGATACATGTTGTTACTAAAATAATCCATCCAATCCAATGTAGAATGTCCTCTCTAAACAAAGATATAGAGTTTAGGCCTTTTCAATTTAGAAAAAAAAAATACAATATTAATGGAATAGGTTTTGTCTCCTCTACCAATCAGACTTAGTCAAAGAAGCTGGATAGTAGGCAAGGATATAGATACACCAGTGTACTTTAGACACTTTTAAACATATGGAATTTACTACATGAATTGTTCTGCTGATTTTTAAATGTTGATCAATCTGTGATCAATTTTAATCTGTGTTTCGGCCAAAATATTTAATAATTTTAAGGGATTTTTAATATTTGTATTATCTGTATTTTATCTTGGCTGTTCACCGACCTGAGTCCTTCAGGAATAGGGCAGTATAGAAATTTGATTAATAAATAAATAAATAAATCTAAGTTTGATGATTAGCAAGTAACCACAACACACTTTCACTTCAATGTGTCTCAACAAAGAGAATTTAACACTTCTAAGCAAACCAACCGAAAATGCAATAAACATGTTAATTTTTAAAATGCCACTTGATGATGAGTCAGAGGCAGGCAGCTCTGGGGGAGAAGGTGACATACTTGAAATTACGAAGACAGGTAAGTACACTTATCAAGTATTTTAAAGATGGATTTGTCACAATCAGCACATTGGGATAGAAGGCACCACATTAACAGAAGTTAAACTTAGCCTCTGCCATCGCTTTCTTCTACCATACTGGAGTATTTGTGGGGGCCAAACTCCATGTTGCAAATAAAGCCTAGACATTAGTGATCTACCGAATGTCACTTACTCATTTTATTTTTATTATAGGAATATTTCGAAAATACAGATTGAATATATATATATATATATATATATATTCATTCATTCATTCATTCATATTTCTATGCTGCCCACTCTCCGAAGACTCTGGGTGGCTTACACCAAAGACAGTATACTAAATAGCATATTGCCCCCTAACAATCTGGGTCCTCATTTTACCCACCTCGGAAGGATGGAAGGCTGAGTCAACCTTGAGCCAGTGAGATTTGATCCGCTGATCTGCTGAACTAGAAGCCAGCTGAAGTAGCTGCAGTACTGCACTCTAACCACTGCGCCACCTCGACTCATCCTATAGCCCAGCTTCAAAAGCATCTTATTCGCTTTAAAACTCTAATGCCAAAGTCTAGAATCTATATTATACAAGCACATCTACACTAAATGGTCCTATTTTCAACAATTTTAAAAAAATAATATTTACTGAAGATTAATTGCAATTTAGGATTCAAATATGATGCTGAACGGCAGCTAAAAAAACTTGAAACATAACATATATAATCTCTCCCCAGATATGTTAGGAGAGGTTGGTCAAGTAAAGACAAAACTTCTGAGCTTTGCAAAGGCCCTTTCATTTTGTATAGTTTGTTACTTCTGAATGTGTTTCCTACACTTAAATATAAATGCTCCAAAATAAAACCTGTCAACCAACTCCTCGTTTCTCCAATGGAGCCCAAGAAAAGCAATATGAGGAGGGGGTCCTTGGTGTTCTGAGTTTGGTTGTTTTCTTGCAGAAGTTTCATGACCCAAACTACACCACATCATCAGTGCCAATGATGTCTAGTACTGGAGCCTTGGTGGCGCAGCGGACTAAAGTGCTGTTAAGTAGCACTTAGCTGCCAGCTGCCTGCAATTACTGCAAGTTCAAATCTCACCAGGCTCAAGGTTGACTCAGCCTTCCATCCTTCTGAGGTAGGTAAAATGAGGACCCAGTTTGTGGGGGCAATAAGCTGACTTTGTATAAAAAAAAGAACACCGCTTAGGGCGACCCGAAAGTTCTACTAAGCAGGTATATACAAAAGTATGAAGGCTATTGCTTAACACATTGTAAGCCGCCCTGAGTCTCCGGAGAAGGGCGGCATATAAATTGAACCAATAAATAAATAAATAAATAAATAATTTCAACTCTGAGCTACAAATATTCTACTTTATTGAAAGCAATGTAGTATAAATCTTATTTTTCTTGCAAAAAAATTAATGGATTTTTCAACTGGACATCTGCTCATTACCATATATGCAAAGTGTAAATTAATTACACTACAAAACCAAATCAGTTTCTCTAACATTTTCAACGAGGCAATCATGTTTGTATCATTTGATTTGGTTTTTTTAGAAAAACAAAAGCACTACAGCCAAAGTGTTGACAAGTTTTTAGTATTATATGGCCTATAATATCCAAACTCTTCCATCCATAAAAACACTTCCACAAAGCAGCAATTTCAAACCATTCCATCTAATAGAAACTCAGTCTCCACTATGATTTAGCCTGAGCTTTATGGTTTTCATTAAGGGCCTTTTATATACCCTGCCAACAATCCAAATACATTTCATGGAAATATAACCAGAATCCTCTCAGAGCTGTTATGTTGGTTATGTAATTTGTACAAAAGTGTTTACCATGTTCTTAGCATGGTGGCAGCATATTTTCTTTATATTTAGTCAGCTTTTGCTACTTAGTATTTTCTTATCTTCCTAAATCAAGAAAATGTAATTGAAAGTTAACTATTTGGGCACAGAATAAGTGTAAAGTAAATGTGAGTGGGAGAGTTGAGGAATTTTGCTGCTTCTTTCCTTCTTAAAACTTTTAGGGAGTTAAAATTGTTGGGATTTGTTTTCAAAATATGAACTCATATTACAGTTCATATTACAGAGATAGAGCTATACAGAGATAGAGTTTGTCTCATCAAAATAACAGAAAAGAACAAAATAGCAGAAAAGAACTCTGTAAATCACAGAACTTAAATTCAGCAATAAGATTGCAGGGGGCTTTTGGAAAAATAAAACAATTCCAGAGCAAATCTGGAGTATTTTAGCCTTGGGGCCACAGAGTAATCACACACATACCAGTTCTCCTGATTGAGACTGGAACATCCATTGCTAAATGATGCCTTTGGTAAATCACGCCCGATTCTATGACTTCTGTCGCAATCATTAAGTGAATTACACAGCAATCACACAATCATTAAGCAAATCCAGTTTGGTCACCAATGGTGATCATGTGACCCCGGTACACTGAAATTGTAGTAAACACATGCCAGTTGTCACGTGCCCAAATTTTTAATCACATGACCATGATGGCAATACTGTTGACATTTGTAAGTGCAAAGACCAGTTGTAAGTAACTTTTTTCAGTGTTGTTGTAACTTTAGTCATTAAACCAATACTTGTAAGTCAAAGACTACCTTACTTACAAATCCATTCTCATACACTGCAGACCTATCTCTTACGTTAAAAGCGTAATTCTAAATTTACAAATCCGATACACCTGATGGTGTTTACATTATATCTGCATATACAACATTTTAACCATAATGCCTACTGCTGTTGCTTTTACTTTATTTGGTAAAGCAATACCAACAATAAAGGACAACAATAATGGCCAGTATCAATAATACATTTAGGAGAAAAACAACCTACCTTTCCAGTACTGTAACAAACTGTTTTTGGAGTGATTTTCCAAAACAAGTTAAGTATGATGCTAAAAAAATGTAGATGTTTGTGATATGAATAAGAATATTTCGGCTTTATTATGGGCTTGGTTATACTATTCTGACCTGCATTTTTAATTTACACAACACACTTATCAGGCATATTTAATGAATTTCTTAATATAGACAGGTTATAAAAAACAATACCTATAACTCTTTTCATGTTTCTCAGATCAAAAATATAGCTGATTATTTATTATGGGAAAGCAGAGGGACCTTTAGAATGTCTAATGGATGTTTTTAGACATGTGTCTACACTACTAATTAGTAGAGCATCCAAAATAGCACTTCCTATCATTGGGGTTCAAGAAAACAGCAAAGGAATATATTGTCATATAATACTTGTAAATTAATAGCAGATATAAACTATTAATTTGATCCCACTGTGATTTTAAGACTCAAGGAAAACAATCTAGTTAGAGAAACGATAACAGTGCTTGCCTCCTACCTTTTAATTGGTTATGTTTGCAGATTCAAGATTGGAAGTGAGTGGTACATACAGAAATGCAAGTCAGTCTCAAAAATCCTGCTCAGAGTTGTAACTGGAGCATATGGAACGTTCTGCTATTAAATGAACAAACAAATCAGATTATTAGTCTAGTTTGTTTTTTAACAGAAAATTATTAATACAGGGGCCACGCTGGTTATACTAACGTAAACCTTGTGCAAATATGTACAGCAACCAGTTCTTCTGTAAAACCACCATACGGTACACAATTCAACTGCAACAGCAATTAATTCTACAATTCTTAATTTTGAAGTCAAGTTCAACTAAACTTAGCTTCCAAGAAAACATCAGATTCCTGACCAAACAAGACACATTTTGACCCAACTATTAATGTCTCAATTTTCTTAGCCAGAATTTCAGTTTGTTTTTTATGTTTTTCTTTTTTACTATAGTTGAGCAAGCAACCAAACAACATCCAACACAGCAACCATGCAAAACTTTATCACACTCTAAATCTTTCCAGAGTTCAAGTACATTGATAAGCATTTGAATGATTTCCCGAGAATAGCATATACCGGTATGTAATTCACATTCATCAGAACAGAGGTCCTATCCAACTGATTTAAGAGTTGCAAAATTAAATTTTACATATTAAAATACTTCTTTCAAAGCATGCACATATAAGAATGCTAACGTTACTGAAGCAAGTATTTGGGCCTAAAGCTATTATGGGGTGCATTCTTATTTCAGGAAAAAGAGCTATTTTAAACCATGACACTGATGTTCATGGCTGTTTGGCTTCTTGGGAGGGCAGCAAAATTGAAATAAAAAGGTAGTTTGAACAGTTCAGTTGACCACAAACTTTGGCAGGAAATAAGATGTATTATTTAGAAGGATTCTTCTACTACAGTCCGGTGATAGGTTTGACAGCACCAGATATATAAGACTTAAGACAGATGTGAATCTAATATTCCATCATGTGGGAGACAACTGGGAAGCTATATAAAATCATATATGATTTAAATTCTGAGTATGTATGACAATTTAAAAGTTAAAATCATTCCTCTACTAAAGAATCCCCAGTTAAGTTTGATTAAACTCAGAAATAAAACATTTTGGAAGCGAACATTAGCACTTTACAAAATCCTCGCATACATCAATCTACTTTCCCCAACTTGTCACAATCCAGATGTACAGGGATTGCACTCCCAAAATTACCTGCCAAAGCAGCTATTTGTAAAAGAGAGCACTTCGTTTATACAGATGTTTTTAGAACTGGCATCTTTTTTAGCCTTTCCTATTATATTCACTCAATATATACCTTCTCACAATAACACCTAGCATAATACTACGTGGGATTTTGCAACACTTCTTAACAAGTTTAATCTTAACACCAATTATAACTTTCACAAGCTCAAGTGTTAAACTGCTTTTAACACCTCTACAATCCTGTACTTGATATGACAAGGGAAAGGAGACAGCAGTGGAATGAGGGGTTATCTAGGTATTTAAGAAAAATATCATTTTGAAAAAGCAACATTCAGAAGTACCTTTTACACATTTAGCCACTTCTAGAACTACTTCAGTTTTATATTAGATACTATAAGTTTCTATCATCTATCTAAAGTCATTCACCCAACAAAATTTCCTACTTCATCTGTTCAGACTCATACAACAAATTAAGGGATTTGTGTTTGGACCTAAATATTTATTAATCTACAACAGGTGACAAAATAAAATAAACAAGCCACTTGCCTTAGTGCTTTTTCCAGGTAAATTAGCAAAAAGAATTTAAGATAACATTATGAAAAGGTAAAAAGGACTATCCCAATTTCTGGAAAGGTAAACATTAGGTCAATAACCTTTGTAGGTTTTAAGAATGTCCACAAACAAGGATTTAGATGTCAGCACAGCTATTTATTTACAGTATTCCCAAAATACTGTATTCTTTTTAAAAAATCCCAGTAATGGGACAAGTACACAGTTAAAACACAGGAAACATAGGCTCTAAAAACCATCTGTATGTGGACTGATGTTAGCTTGCTCATAAATGGCCTATGCCAGAAGGGTGTAAGTTTGCCAGTGACATCCTATTATTTAAAGTAGTTAAAAACAAAAAGGGGAGGGTACAGAAAAGCTATAAAATGTTCTTTACAGATGGAGGAATGCAACTAAAATTATAGTTCAAGGAAAGAGAAAACACACTAAGTAAAAAAATTGTAACTTCACACATGACTTGATGGGTTCCAAGCTTCTATTGATAGACAACAGAAGGAACTTTAGAAGGATGGGGTTTAGAAAGTTAAAATGCTTAGTTCAAATCTTCAATAGTGGGTGCTAATTGCTAAGTAATGAAATAAAGAAATAGTTTCTAGCAGTTTGCTATTACAAAAACAGATTCCTAAATTGTTCTTACAATTGTCAAGCTCAATACTAGTTATTTGCTTCTGATCAGATCCCTAGAAAAATAAAATTCTGTAAGTCTCTATTCCAAGCCTCAAAGATTTTAGCTAGGTACCATAACCCAATTGTCATTATTATGACACAGCAGATGCCATGTGAACTTGAAAAGCATTTTTGATTATTAAAAAAACTAAGGTGGCATTCCCAAATGTTTCACTACAAAGAAATTCTGAATATTGTAAAAATGGATTGTTGTCTTAGTAGGAATACACTTAGAAAAACACAGAAACCAAAGCATCAGATTTGAGGTTATTTTCTTCTTTCCCAATCTCCCACCATGTAAACTAACTATAATCTGTTTAGACATAGACCTATTTACATCAGCAAAACACCATCCACCTTACTGTAGCACTAAGTAATAATCACCTCTTTAGTAGGCCTACAAAACTAAGTTCTAACATTTACCAAACATAAACTGTACTATTTATCATCAGAAGATCTTTTTAAATCTAACTTTATTTACATTAGTCTTATAAAACACTAGTAGTTCTCTTTAACTAGATTTTGATTGCAAAGTGGAAAAGCTTCCACTAAACCAGCTTATATTCCTCTTTGAAGAGAGGATTTTGATAACATTTCTTCTGCAGGTCCTATATAAACCAAACTGACTAATTGCTAACAAATTATAATCCCTGTTGTATTGCAATTAAATACAACATATGCAGAAGTGTTATCAAGCATTTTTTAAAAAACCTGCAAATAAGAGAACATGCTTGGAATCCCCAAAATATTTGTAATGCTTCATGGCTCACCAGCTCCCCCCACCATTCCTGGGCTGATAGTGCAATTCTAATGGAATATTTATCAAGAATAAAGCCCTGCTGAGTTCAATGGGGCTTATTCCAAATATGCATTCTTCAAATTGCAGTCCAAATCTCAGCAGCCCTTGCTAAAAAAAAAAATCAGCCGAATCAAGCAAGGCAGCACTGTTAAGTCTACAGTCTCTTTCTATCTGTATAATTTGGCACATAATATAGAAACACAGCTCTAGTTGTAATCCATTAGATGTTGGAATCCCCACAATTTGACAACAAAGCCTGCTGAGCTAGTAACATAGGCTGATCTTCAAATACTGGCAGCATTTTTCAGTTCTTTTCTCTGCAGAAAGGGATAAAACACCTGCTGCATTCTACATTCTCTTTTGTTTGGTATTTTATTTCACATGCTCGGTTACTTTTTAAGAAAAAAAATTAAAAAGAGGCTTTTGCTTTCTAAAAGGTGTTTCTTATTCTTCTTTGCAATAATATCATCAGCAGCGCTGTGGAGTCGGAGTCGAGGAGTCGGAGGAAATTTTGGGTACCTGGAGTCGGAGTCGGAAGTACAAAAACTGAGGAGTCGGAGTCGGAACATTTATCTCCCGACTCCAGAGCCCTGATCATCAGTCACAAGTTTTAACTTAAAGTAATGTGGGACATAACCAGTGGTGGGATTCAGCCAGTTTGCACCACTTCAGGAGAACCGGTTGTTAACTTTCTGAGCAGTTTGGCAAACTGGTTGTTGGAAGAAATCATTAAGGCAGAGAATCAGTTGTTAAATTACTTGAATCCCATCACTGGACATAACCCAGTGCATGGAAGAGTATAATCTAGATACTAACTTTCATAAACCAAATTCAGAATGCACATTTTGAGACCCGTCCTCCATATATACATAATTAAACCCAAAATAGAAAGATTCAGTACCTAGACTTTTAAGCAACAAGCATTAAAAAAAACCACAAGAAATAATCTTCACATTTAAAAGGCTGAACTATTTGGCTCAAAATAAAATATTGAGAAATTCCATGTATGTGCATTAACATGAAAGCAAGATCAAAAATTCTTTCCCCCACCAGCATAGACCAACAGGGTGAAAAAAAAATCAGCAGCAGATAAGCAGCAAACCACTTAGCCTTATATACCGCTTCACAGTGCTTTACAGCCCTCTCTAAGCGGTTTAAAGCATCATTTTATCTGCATGCTTTATTTTAGCAAAGTGATGGATAGTGCAGAATGTGTGGCTAACTACGAAGGAATAAACAAAACTATCATTAGCTCTGATGGCTTGGTAAGCATTTTAGGTGTGACAAAAAGCCTCTGGCTTATCAGTCAACATACAGTATTCTTGCTCAGAGCCAAACACCGGGAAGAAAACAGACGAATAAGAAAGAAGTCTCTCAATTCATCTGGCAATTAAATGTCTGGGGCAATGCTTCACTACAAAGGAATGGAATCAATGTTCATCCAGAAGCCAGAACCTAATAATATATACAGAATGTAAAACGTGACATCTGATTTTGTTCAGTCATTTACAAGGGACAAATTCTGCAGAGGTGGAACAAGCAACTGGCCCACTTTTCCATTGCTAAGGACTATTCCCAAAATGCTCCCTGACTTAAAAATGTAATACTGAAGTATTTCAGTTTATCCTAATGGGAAGCACAAACCAGCATTCTTCATCTGGTGGTCTGTAACAAAAATGGACCTAATGAAAACTATCCTTTTCAAATGCAGCTCTATTTTTATACAAGACAATTTCCATCTTTGTTCACCATCAATGCAATAAGCTGCCTTCTGTGATTCATGTCTCTAAAACCAAGGCTGTAGGAGCATTTGAAAGTAATGACTCAGTATATATTAACCAAGTTGAGGCACAACCGTTTTAGTCAAGTAAT